GGGTGCTTTGGGAGGAACGGTTGGTGAAAGGGCTGGAGGGAGGCAGCATGTCTGGCCTTGCAGTAATAGGCCTTGGTTTACTGCTGGTAATCCTGCCTTCCCCTTGTAGGGTTAGAGGAGGTCAGAACATGTGGCCTCCTTGCCGTTTTTGCAGCTGCAAAAGACCTCTTGGTAAAGCATTGAAAAGCAAAGATGCTACTTTTGAAGAGTAGGTGCATTTAACTCAAGCCATTGTATTTTCACTTGCTTCATATAAATGTGAAAGCTGGACAATGAATAAGGAAGATGGAAGAAGAACAGATGCCTTTGAATTATGGTGTTGATGAAGAATATTGAATATATCATGGACTGCCAGAAGAACAAACAAATCACTCTTGGAAGAAGCACAACTGAATCTCCTTAGAAGTGAGGCTGGTGAGACTTCATTTTACGTACTTTGGATATGTTAGCAGGAGGGACCAGTTCCTGGGGAAGGACACCACGCTTGGTAAAGTAGAGGGTCAGCAAAAAAGAGGAAGACCCTTAATGAGATGGATTGACATAACGGCTGCAACAATGAGCTCAAAGATAGCAACGATTGTGAGGATGGCACAGGACTGGGTAGTGTTTCGTTCTTTTGTAAAGAGAGTCTCTATGAGTTGGAACCAACTCAACAACACTTAGCAACAACAATAACATACATATATCTACATATGCATGGGTTTATCAAATGTATGTATATCTATATATCTGCTTTAAAAGAGTGATTTTCCTTCCTATTCTGCTGCCTGCCTTCCTACCCTCTTGACCTTTGACCCCACATCTGCCTGTCTCTAGCTGCATTAACTATTTATTGTAATTGCCTCATCAGTTATATGGATTTTTCTTTTTTGTAATTGTTTCACAAGATGTGATTCCCAGATACACATTTTTGCCTATTTTTCCTTTCTCCACATACTTGATAAGATTTCTCCAGATTCTCTGGGATAGCTCTAATTCAATTCTAATTCATACTGGCAAGGTATGCTATGTCTAACTCAACCATTCCTCTATTGGCTGATACTCATTTAATTGCCACCACTTTCTTTTTCTACAACCAGTAATTGCTTTTGACTTTGGATGTACGCATTTTAATGCCTTTTGCAACTCCCTTGGATTATAGATAGGGGCTGATGCTCTGGGTAAAATGGCAGAAAACCAGGTGCTTACTAGGATGGGCTGAATGAGAGTTTCTCTACTGGAAAGGATCAGGAAGTTTCTCAATAAATTTAAAAATAACAAGAAAAGGACCAAACCTCAAACTGAATCTTTTCAAAATGGGATGCACCTTCTACAACCCTATTGCCTTTGCCAATGGTAGCACCTCATCCATCCACCTGAGTTCCTATACTGAAAACCTGAGTGTTGGTCATCTGTGCTTCCTCCCTCTTCCTCTACTGTCCATCCTCCTCCATTCCCAATAAATGACCACAATTTTCTTCTTTCCTCAGTGTCACTTGACTGATCAATCAATCCCCACAGCTATCCTAAGGACCTCCACTCTTGCCCTTGGCTTCCTTATGACCACTCCACATTTTTGCAGCTGGGTGTTCTGATATTCCATCACCTGGTCACTTCTCTCTCCTTTGTAAACCCCTCGCTATGTACACAGACACTTCATATTCCATTTGCAGTAGTGGGCTTGCAGCCCTGAAACACTCACTGCTGTCTCTTGCACTGGGCCTGGACTCCTCCTTCTAGTAGGAGCACTGCTTTCTCTCCTGTCACAGGACTTCTACTGCTTGTTCTCAGATCTGGGTCTTCCTTGCTCCTTTCTTCTTCCTTATGTTGTTTGTAGAGCATATTCTCTTACTCAGGAAAGAATTAAATAGGAAGTCAATTAGCAATAGCAAGTTATTTGATATTTTAGTTTACTAGAGTTGCCATACTAAATACATGGGTGGCTTTTAAAAAAAACAGGAATTTAGTGCCTCACAGTTCTGAGGGCTAGAAGTCCAAAGCAGGGTATCAGCTCTATGGATTCTTTCTAAAGGTTCTGAGAGAGAAACTGTTCCATGTTTCTCTCCTAGCTTTTAGTCTCTGCTGCAAGTCTTGACATTCGTTTGTTGCTTGGAGATGCATCTTCACAGAGTGCCTTCATTCTAACTATGACCCTGTCTTTGTGTCTGTTCTCCCCTTACATAAGACACCACTCAGAAGGAATTAGGACCTAATGCCTATATAACCTCATGTTAACTGGTAATACCTTCAAAAAAAGACTCTATATCCAAGCAAGGTCATATTCACTGGAACAGTGATTAGAACATCAGCATATATATATATATTTTGGTACAGTTCAGTCCATAACACTTGATAAGCATGCAATTAGACATTGTACAGGTAATGAAGAGTCTTAGTGGTTGATGGTATCCAACTAAGAGGACTTGGTTTTTCAGATAGGTTGAAGCTGATCAGAGATTGATGGCAGTGCTGATGACACTATTGTAAATGGAATATGGAGTGTCTGTGTGCATAGTGAGGGGTTTACACAGTAGAGAGAAGTGACCAGGTGATGGCCTATCAGAACACCCAGCTGCAGAAATGGAGTGGTTGTAAGCAGGCCAAGGGCAAAAGAGGGTGAAAGCATCCTGCTTTTTGACCTCTCCTTTTCTAGAGTTGTGCTGTCAACCCATATTTGCTTAAGGTATCACATCTCTAGAGAGATTACTCTAATTGACAATGACTTCAGTCTCGTGACTTTAGAGCCACACAAATACCCGCTGAGAGCCAAAGCATCAAAACAAACTGAAGCTAATAAGGAAGTGTGATATTTTTCTCCCCGCTTGTTGGGGTGGGAGATATTGCAAATTTTAGACAGAAGAAATCAGAGAGGTATAACTTGAAGATGTGCATGATACCCTTTTGAGTCTGAGACAGTATTATTGTAAACAACAAGGTTAAATCTAAGAACTAAATTCTATGATCTGTGTGGAGACTCTGTTCATTCATTCATTTCAGTGCACTGGGAAATAATCCCTGATTCGCTTGGGTTGGGACAATATAATTGTTTTAGAATTATATATAGTGAATCAAACACTTAAAATTTATTATAAGTATTGCTTTTGCTTTAGATATACTATAGGTGTATTTATACTGTAAGTATATTTTTACTATCTTATTATTTAAGAGATTTTGACATAAAATATCTAAAAGATTAGCATTATAATTGAAATTAAATGTAAAATTGAGTAATTGGTTTTGCTGTCATTTTGGGGGGGAGGGGGTTAACTTTTTATTAAATGGTTATTGCTGTACTCCTCCAAAGGAAGGTTGAGCAATCTACTTCCATAGTGATACTGCCTCAGCAACACAAAGAGGGGTCGCTATGAGTCGGGTCCGACTCGACCGCACACAACAACAACAACAGCTGTACTAAATGGGTCTGATGAGGTCTGCCACAGAAGTATCAGTGATCCATGGTCAGTCCCAGGAGTTTTGATGTAATTTTTAAGTTAAAAAGTTAGAAAAATTGTAC